TTATATTTAAAACAAAGTTACGGAGTTAGTTGATAAAATAGAAAATCCATACTATAATACTTAATTTGCAAAATGGTTGATAATTGTCTCGAACTTCGTTGTTCTTGCATTTCCATACTAATTACTTTCTAGTCCCGCTCTTTCTTTCTTGATCTTCCCAATCTTCTGCTGCCAGACATTACATTCCTGGCTCGCGTCATATACTACTTATATCAATATAAGTAGCACGCACCACACTTCCTTTACCACATAAAGTACGAAGTATTAAGTTCAAGTTGTAGAAATAACGATAAACTTATTTCTGTTATATTTTCAAAGTAGATACACCTTTGAGAACTGTATATTCTGTTGAGGAGAATTCAATAACTGAATAAATACTATCATCTTGTGTGTATGCGTGTGTGAAATTATTTAAATTGAAAATCATGAATTATTACAAAATAACTTGAAGTGTAAATATAAGGCCATTGATAAAAATAGTGAATTACATTAACATCAACTTTATGCATAAACACAGTCATTAAACTATAAAAAAAGGCTAAAACCGTACTACTAAACTTATTGCTTTTACACAAGAGCGGCCTGCTTGAGCATCTGGGCTACCTGTTCTTTCCATCTAAATATTTCAACAAGTTATCTATTTTTTCTTTGTTTTAATACATCATTATGTTTATTAATACCATAACCTATTCTGCTGCGTTTCTGAAAAGTGTACAACCTTTCGTTGTCAAAGTTACAAAAACCTCAATAAGAGACAGTGTGGTTGCTGTCAATATACAACGAAAAGAATGCACATTATTCAGATATTCACTTAGTGAACTGCTAACATCTAACTGGCGATCACTTGATATTTATCGCCAGGACCGACCAAGAAGAAAGAAACGGAAACTTGTTGGAATACTTTGTGCTGAGAATTCTATATTGTACCAAAAATATAATATTGAATAAAGCCGATAATAATAATAATAATAATAATAATAATAATAATACAACCTTAACATTTAGACCCAAAAACATCATTTATCATCTTAATTTTAATAGTTGTATCACTGATAATTCTTAGAGAATTATTGGAAATCAAATAATCACAAAATAACTTTAGAGATAATTTAAAACTATTGATCTGTACGTCAGACTCGTGGTTATATTCATTTAGTCTTTAGTTCTGATTTGATCCTTTCAATCTAACCGTATTGCAGTAACTAATCTAAGTAAATGAACATTGTATGCACTGTTAGGTGGTTGGAGCAAGTAAACAAGAAATCCTGAACCTAGTTTTTATGTTATTTGGGATTTGTCACAAAAGTGTACTTGTAATCTTCAGGGAACTGATATTGCTTTAGTGTAAACTGGTTTCTGAATCCAGGACATTACTATTGAGTTCTTCGGTCCTCAAATAACCACTTATGAGAATGACATATCCAATCATGAAATACCTGAACAGATCATTCATAGAGTTTTAGATTGTTAGACTGAGTAACCAGTGCTTGAATCCAATGATTCGTACGACGTTTTAAATGTTCCTTGCTGAAAAGTGTTAACTAACAAGACACATGGTTCTAAAGTGTTGTCCTGACTATTTATTCATGGTAACTTACAACACTATTTACCAATAGCACTATACCTGGAAAATTCAGCGCATTATTAAACACTGATGTACATACGATCATTATAGAACTAAGCGACCATGTTAACTGTACATAAATCATCTCACTGACGATGCTTTTTAGTTCTTCATAGTCCGAGTAAGCCATTATGAATAACTATTTATTGTTATCAGTAATCAATAAGTTAAATTGAATGAAAAGGAAAAAAAATTGTCTATGAATTATGCTTTTTAGAGAAAAATAAATCCGACTTTATTTTACAGATGGGGTGGGGCTGAAGGGTTAAACTTATTACTTATTCCGTATTCTAATCTGGTTTTTACATCTATTGTATGCTTTTAACTAATTGAGAACATTAAGACAAACTGTATCATATTTCATTGAATGTTTTTTTCCTTTTTCGTAAGTTTTAGTTTATGAATCTTGTAAATATTACTAATAATATTAAGAGTAGTATATTTTATTTATTCTTCAGCTCTTAAACTACAATCATAGTATAATTGTCGTTTACCTTCCGTATCAGAAATGCAGTAAACATAAGAAGTTAATAAAAAGATGCTGGATAGAAAATAAAAGTACTTTACAGTAATAATACTAATAATAAATATCATACGTTTTAAATTAAGTGTAAAATTATCTAAAATTCTTTACAACCATTAAGTACATTTTTTTAATCATTATTATCATCAAAAGTTGATAAGTTAATATATATAAACTCATGAGTTGATCTAAGCTAGACCACCTGGAAGCTCTAGGCGGCCGTTTTGTCCTGATGCGGACTCTTCAGCAGTGCGCATCCACGATCCCACACATGAAACTGAAACTCAGGACCGGTCTTGCGCACAAGCTCTTAACCTCTAGACCACTGAGCTGGTATTCATGATTTTGCGCAACCGTTTATTCATTGTCTGAAGTGGATAACTGTCTCACACCCAATAGACATTGGACTACACTGTTCATGGCTTCTCACTACAACCCAAGAAATTCATCTCAAAGCTAGTCACTAATGAGCATATGATTGTTATCAGTATGGAGATCATGGATACGTGCTAATGAGGAGTCGCATACTAGAAAGTAATGGCCATCTAGCGCTTCCAGGTTTTCAGTGGTTGTCGTGACTTTAAGTCCGGCTAATTACCACGTGATATATTCGCCAACCGAAGTATGACTTATTAAAGCTTAGTACTGTGCTAAGCCAATGACGTTCGACTGGTATGAGCAGCCTAGCATCTTTATTGGTCCTTTACTCTCCTAGTCCGTTCAGTTGATTCCAGAACGCCAACGGCAGCTCCCATTATGCGAATCATTCATTTCAAACATACTTGGTTTATATCCCAGCAAAACAGACCACACCACGCCATAAAATAGGAAACAAGATTTTTAAAATATCTAGTCAAAAGTGGCTGTGAACGTGGAAGATCAGTTTATAAACTGAGTATAATTTAAAAATAGTAAGTCAAAATAAAGCTTATAATAAGAGAAATATAGATATACATACTCTAGTTGCTGAATAGTTATACAATAAGAATATATATACAATATTAGTTCATTGATAGTTCTCAGAAGTTACCCGTAATTTAATCTTCACTAGAATATAACAGTGGTGGTCTAGCTTAGATCGGCTCGTGAATTCAACTGCGAAAATACTATAATCTTCATAAATCTCGATACTGACGTATACAAATGTATATCTATAGGTACCTGCTAAAAGTTGAATACGATGGAGTTCAAGGTGGAATCTGGTTACTTCAGAAAACATTCAGAAGCAAAAATCTAATAATTTTCTCTTATCAGCAAATGTATTAACCATATTGAAGTGTTTTTGCCTGCATTTTGAAATAATTAATTATTCAAAATGATAATATAATAGCTAAAAAATAAACATGTCAGTATTGTGCGGAGATATAAAGCGTGTAATATTATGTGAATATTGTACAACGAACTTCAGTAAATTCGTATTGTTTTATTTGTCACTGGATTTGAGACAAATAGTTTTTCAATCATTTCATATATTCTACAACTTTAAACGTAACTGAATTCCAATATCTTACTTGATTATTCCATTTTGATTATTATGATAAGTATATTCTTCATTAATACAATTGAGTGTTTTATTTAACATAATCAAAAGTAAACGGCTATCATGAAAGGATAATTTCTATCAGCTCTACTATGGCAAAATGAAACTAAATTGTAATGACCTTCTACGGTCATTACTGGTCTCAATCTGGGATAAAAGAGTAAATTGGACACGAGGTTAGCGACCCCATAATTTGGAAAAGAACCATGCTAAAAACACGCTTATTGATGAAGCTGGTTAAGGATTTTTCAAATCTAGTTTACCGCCTAATAAATGAATACCTGCTATTTGAACTTATCAGAGAATGGTAGAGAATAAACTATTGTCTTGTTCTATATAAATAGAAACTAAGGGCCATGGTAAAATCACAACTTTCTTTAGTCAGAAGGAATTACGCTCCTAATAATGATTAACTCCAAAATAATTCACGGTTTTCAGTCGAATAGTTCCGACACATATGGACTATTGATTGCGAATTCAGCAGTTTAAATGTATCATAGTTGTTACGAGATTTAAAATAGTTAAATTGAACTTCTTGCAAACTTGTGGATGCTTATTTCCCAAAAAGTTTTAAGCTAAGACGAAACAGCTGTTCGGTAATTTCTGGTTCAAATGATTGTTTATATGAAATGGATCCTCGTGGACAATCATTTTTGAAGTTTTTCACATTCAAATAACTTTCATTTTCAATAATTCCGAATTTATATTATCTTGCAAAATGTTTCTCATTACAGTCTAAATTATAAGCATATGGAATTCCATATGCCAGTCTGTTTTGTCAGAAAGGTCATGGCTTGTGAAAGTGATGGAAATATCACTAATTCGCCACAAATACATTTTCCTAAAAGCCTTTTGAATTTCATCTATGTATCTGAAGGTTCTAATTTGTGTAAATATAATATATATATAATAATATATATATAATATATAATATATATATAATAATAATAATATATAATCTACAGACTTCTAAAGCTCTAATTGTCGGTTAGTCAATGAAACATGAATGGTTTAAAATCAGGGTTTAAAAGTTAAAATATGCTAGACGTCAAAATCAAGTCCGTGAACGAATATAAACAGATAAAAAACTTATAAATACTGTTCAATACATGAAGTAAAGTATTTAAAATGGTGTCAGCTCTCGTCATGAACTACCTATTAAC